ACAAAAGAATCCAAACCAAGCAAAATTAGTCACTGTGTTAAAAATCAGCTGCAGCTGGCTTCATGTTCTGAGCGTGGGAGTGGGATAGGACTGGGGCTGGAGGAGATGTTCAATAAATAGCTTTACAAGATGAAAAAAGAAAGAAAACCCTCAGCGGAGTTAAGAACAGAAAGGAGATAATGGCTTGAAAGAGGCACAAGCAATCTTTAAAGTTTGTGAAAAGTCTTTAAACTGCTCATCTACGTTTATTTCCATATAGATATTTGCCTATTTAAAAAGTGGGCCACACATGGTAGTGCACACCTTTAATTCCAGCACTTGAGAGGCAGAGGCAGGTAGATCTCTGAGTTTAAGGCCAGCCTGGCTTTGGATGAGTTCCAGAACAGTCAGGGCTACACAGAGAAACCCTGTCTGGAATTAAATAAATAAATAAAATTAAAGTATATATTTGCAGAAAGAAACTAGTAGGTAGAAAATTACAAACGTTTCTTCTTTCTAGTTCCTACCTTAAAAAAATATCTGAGTAGTTTAATAATTAGCAAAAAAGATGTGGCTTTAAGTAAATTAGTAGAAGAAAGGCACATCTGCATAAGAGGTCAACTACTAAGGTCTTCAGGGAACACGTGTGATGGAGAAGGCAGGATGGCATTCCACTCTAGCTGGGCCACCCAACCACTCACGACCATCTCAACAAGAAACACCAGGCTGTGAGCATAAAATTACATTCCCTGGAACCGATAAGTAACACAAAAATATTAGACGGTATTTACAGAAGATGCTGGGTAGGAGGGTTTCTACAAGTCAACAATGTTCTTCCAGCAGTGAGTGAGAAAATAACACAGGCTAAAGCACTTTTCCTCCAGACAGGGTCTATGTAACTTTGATTGTCCTGGAACTATGTAGACCAGACTGACCTCACTCAGAGATTCACCTACTGTGATTAAAGGTGTGTGCCAACACACCCAGGCTGCTTTAAAAAGAAAACAGGGGGTGCCCTCACTGTGTTGCCTTGGCTGATCTATAACTCACTATGTAGACCAGGCTGGCCTCAAACTCAAAGTTTCACCTGTCTGCCTCCCAAAAGGTGTATGCCACCACACCCCAGAAACAGTTCTACAAGGAACTGCAAAGATGATTTAGAGCTACTTCAAGGTCCCCAGATCTGGTAAGCGCATGGAGAATTGTTGGCCGGCTGACCAATCATTATATCTAAGAGACACAGTGATGGAAGTCTACAGTTGCAGCACTTAGAAAGAGAAAAAAGGATCAGTTTAGTCACCTTTAGCAATTTAAGGATTTAAGGCTAACTTGGACTACAGAAGTTCCTATTCAAAAGATGTACCTGGCTTGTGTGTGTATGAGCACCAGTCCACTATTTTTTTAAGTAGCTTTGAATTCATAGTAGCTTTGTCATTGTGTGCTCAACTCAAACTAAAGTTTACGAAATTGAAGTCAACCTTTTAAAAATTACACTGATACACAGACTCGAACACATAGTGTTAACCATTTTAATAATTATTATCATGTATTTTTATGTCATTTTCATACATGTATATAGTGCACTTCACTCATGTGCAGTAACTGTTATAGGGCTCCTGAAGTCAAGTGAGCTTCCTTCACTTAACGCCTAGGGAGCGTCAAGAACCTCCTTCACTCTGCCTGGCAGCATCATAATCAAGGTTGAGTGAGAAGCAGAACCTGGCTGTGCAATCCCTACAGACTGCTCAGGTCCTCAGGCTGCCTCAGATCTGCTTTGTGCCAACACAGGCAATCCTAGGAGACCAGGAAGTGGACAACAGAATCAAACATCTCCAAAGCAGTGATGACATCACCAAAACAGAGCTCTGGCTGGACTCCCACCCTGTGCATTAATTACTGCATCTTAAAGCAGATGAACAAAGCCAATACTGCATGTCACTTCACCACTGGAGCCAAATCCCAAGTTCTCTTCCTTCCCAACAGGGACATTTTGCAAGTAGCTCCTCTTAAATTTGGTTTTGGAATCAGAGTGCAACATTAAAAGTGGAGCTGGTCAGGGAGCCTTCTAAAGCCTGTTTCAATCCTACCCATCACAGCAGCTCTGCAGATCACTGCTCATAGACACAGTTTCAAGTCTGGCTCTGGTTTTGTTTTTTATTTGCACTTTAAAACATAAATACAAGTGCTCTCCAGTCTTTAATGCCGTCTAAAAGGTGAAAGATGTGAGGACAAGTAATTCAAGAGAACTCTGCAAATGTCTCTGCAGAAACTGCAGGTAGTACAGCACCCAGACCACAGAGCAAGAGCACAGGTCAGCACAGGTTAAGGGTTTGGGAACACAGTGAGAACAGAACCAGAACACAATGAGAGCAACCCCAGTGGTGCAGAAAGCAGAAGCCAAAACACAGCAGAGCTTCAGGACCCTTCCAAAGAGGACCTAGCTCCCAAAGGCGCTGCTGGTAAGCCCAGATTAGGAGGCCACCTCCTTGTTACTTCCCCGGGGAAACTATCAAGTATCTCGGCCATATCTGCTGACTTGGATGGATATCATAGAAAAAAAAAAAATGAAAGATTCATATCAGACCCAGGGAGGCTGAACGCAGAAGATGCCTAGTGGACCTCAGGGTCTGAGTTTGCACCAAATTTTCACAGCAAGCTTGACGGCAAATGTAAGGTTAAAGGATTACTAGTGCAAGATCTCTTTGAAGATGGAGTAACAGCAAATCCAAGGACCAAACTTTCCTGCCTCACTTGGTGGTGGAGCCAGAAACCGATTCACAGACCATTTCCTACAAGGGCTGTCCTCTTACAGGGCTAGGACCTCTGACTGTAAGGTACAATCGGCACCAAAAAAAGAAAACCAAGAAAGTCACTCACGGGGCTGCCAACAATCACCTGGAAGACTACACTAATAAGACTATTTTCAGAGGTGTCTCAGCCCCACCCTCCTGTGTTTACTCATGGAGGCCTTAAAGGAAGGAACCAGAAAGCTGCAGGAAACAGAGGGCACTGGTTTGTTTGTTTCTTTGTCTAAATCCAGACTGCATCACGAAGTCTGGCAGGAGCTACATTAGGCTTTTTGTCAGCTGACAAGGAAAACCCAGCATATCAAATGTGCCTCTGCTCACACACTACAGTGTACTGTACCAAGTGGCATCATTTCCCCGGGAGGGAGGACAAAAATATCACTTACAACAAAAAAGGAATCAAGTTTAGTGTTGATGGTTACTCTTCATAAGATGTGATCAGTCATAAGCTGTAATTTGATCCCCTCTTTCAGAAGCAAACCAAACAAACACTGTTCCTAAAGCTCACAAAGATGGGGACTAAAAATGGCTCAGGCGCTTTCAAGCATAAGGACTTGAGTTCAGATCTCCTGGACTCACATTCCAATCAAGAAAAAGAAAAAGCTAGGTGCAGAGGCACCTGTAACCCCGGGGGGAGGGGGGGCTGAGTTCGCCAAGCCTACCCTACTTAGCAGTGGATGAGCTTCAGGTTAGTAAATAAACACTGCTCAAAAAAAGTCGGACATTTAAGTAAGACACCCAGTGTCAACCTCACACATGCACACACCACACAAAGTTGGCAAATATTTCAAGCTCTTAGCTAGAACACAACACTTTTGGATGTCTGATTCACCTAAAAAAACCAACCAATTTCTGCAAAAGCCTCACATTCTTTCTAACAACCCAGTCATCCCAACACCTGAATTGTGAGGCTCACCGTTTCACCATTCCTGGAGGCCAGGACCCATGCCTGTCTCCCTGAGTCAGGACCCAGTAACGCCTGACACATACACGATGGAAGAAAACATTTCCTAAATGAAGGTGGCAGCCACTGCTCTCCCACTCCTTATGTGGACCAAGCTGGGGAACAATGGTAAAAGCCAGGCACTCTAGAATACCAAACTTTAGCTTGGCCAGCTTCAGAAGTAGCTGGAACTCACTCGCCAGCTCTTGAACTCAATTCTGAACCAACCCTCCCAAGCTCGAAGAAAAACATACTAACAGGAGGTTTTACTGACCCAATCATGCGGGTCATCAGCTGATGTCACAAGGAAGAGACAAGAGTCTGTTCTGTGGGAAGGCAAAGAGTATTTTCAACAAGCGAGGCACCCATCAACTCTTATAGAACGGAAGGTGCACTCGACAGGCATGCCAGACCTGACTGCGAAAACTATTCAAATCCAATACATACCTTACCAGAACTCAAATCTTCTGATTCGGTGACACTACACTGCCGGGATACGCCTTGTAAGTTACAACTGCCAATGCAACCCGGCTTTAAGGTAGGACCAAGAAGCTCTCAAATGACATCACTAGACAGGAGGTGGAGGAGGGTGCTGATGGACAGATAACAGGTGGCAAGCTCTGGAAGCACCTAAAGCAGAAGAGGCCAGAGGCCAGTAGATTGCTAAGTAGCCCGAGTGTCGACGCCTCGGTCGCTCTCTGTGTAACTTATCAGCGGTGTGACCTTGGATGAGTGACTTAACCTCTCTGTTCTTTGATTTCTCTGTAAGTGGACACTGCCTCGGTGCTTCGGAGGGCTGTTGGGAGAATAGAGCAACCTGTGCGGTCTTGCCACGCAGCCCAGGCAAAAGAGAAATCCGAAATCTTCCCAACGTTACTCTCCACATTCGCACGATTACCAGCCAGGAGGGCACCAGGCCATCTCAGAGACACTCAGGAGGTCCTGCCCCCTGGGACTTCGAAATAGGATCTACCGTGCAGGACCCTGAAAGCTCCTGTCTCCCGGTGTCCGCGGCGGGCCGGGGCATGTGACGCGCCTGGCAGCGCTGCCTCGGTGGCCGGCCGGTACCTCTTCCCAGCCAGCAGCGCTGCCGCCGAAGACGAGCGGAGCCCAAGGGTCCCCGTACCCGCCGCCCGCCGGGTCACCCCGTGCCCTCCGACCTCCGCCCGCCGGGCGCCGCCCCGCCTGGCCCGGCCCGGCTCTCGCCTAGGACGCCAGGCCCGGAGGCCGGGGCCGCGGCGGGGGAAGGGCGGCCCGGGCCCGCCACTCACCGCGGGGTCCGCCGAGGAAGAGACACAACGCAGGCCGCGACAGAGAGTCCGACTCCGGCTCCAGCAGGCTCCTCGGAGCTGCCCAGCCCCAAACACCGTAGCCAACGCCGCCGCCTCGGGCTTTATGGCCAAAGCTCCGGCCTTGCTCCCACTTCCGCCACCGCCGCCGCCCCGAGCGGAAGTGCCTGTCACGAGACACTCGACGCCAGGGGTTTGGGGGGAGGAGCCCTGACTCCACTTTGCGTCACGTTCCGGTCGCGTCAGGCCCTGGCCGGGCGTCTCGTAGGGTAAATATGGCGGTCTCCAGATGGGGGCTGCCATCTTTGAGGGTGGTGCGGAAGCTGGAGCTCGCCATATTGGGCAGAGAACTGATAAAGCAGTCGACCCCTTATTACACCCGGGTACAACCTCTAAGGTGGATGGAAAGGATTGACTACAGTGTCCCCAGTGATGGAGACCCAGGGGTGAACTAGATGTCATTAGATACCTGGGCAAGATAGATGATCCAGGAAAATGGAAAAGGAGCTAAGGGGTTGCTGAACTGAAAAGAGACACACAGAAGGGTGATTGTGGCGACACAGGCATGGAATTCACCCCAGGGAGGTAGAAGCAAGAGAATGAAAAGACTAGGCCTAAAATCATAAAAGAGGTCCAATAAAGACAGACCAGACAGATCTCTCGATAGTACCAAATCCCCTCCCAAAAACCCAAAGGACCAGTGGTCGTCAACCCCCCCACCCCTGGAATTCAATTAAAGACCTGAACTCCGATTAGCCTCAAGCCTTCAGGATTCTGGGTTACCTGTCGCAAAAAAACAAAACCAAACAACTCTAGGCTCTGCCACTTGTAACACCCGATTCTGTGTTACTCCCTTGGTACAGTTTGCAGGCCACTGTACCGTACACAAGTCGGGCAAGGGCCTAGAGATTGAAAGAACACACAAAGAGACCTGGGTCTTTCGAAAGGAGATCAGCCAAAAGCGTTTATTTAGCCTTGGAGAAATCCTTATATACCTTCCATCCAAGCAAGTGGGAAATTACCACACCAAAGATGGAGTAAACAATGCCCTGCAGCTAATCACCAGGTGGGGCAGAGGGAGCTCAGGAACAAACAGAATGTTTTAGCTGGCTGACCAGAAACTGTTCTCAAGATGAACCCCAAGAACAAGGGTAGACCTGGGCCCTACAGCCACTCTATTTTCTAGTACCTTGTATAATAATTCGATTTCTAAGGACTACAAACTCATTCTCCAGTACCGTTATCAAGGAATCCCTTTGTGCTAAGACAACCTCTCAAAGGTTCTGTCATTCCCCAACATCTCAGGCTGAGGAGAGAGCGCCCAACACATGAATTCTAGGGAGATTCACTCAAGCCATACCCAAGCCATATCAAATGGCTGCCTGGTTGGGTACCAGTAGACAAACAGGACAGGACCGTACTGGAATGGAAGAGTTGTCTAAAAAGTCCTAGAGCAGGTAGAGGTGGGACCATACCTCTCAGTTGTTAGGGAATGACAGTATCACAGAAACTTACACATTCTCTAAACTGGGTGGTGGTGGTGCTCACCTTTAATCCCAGCACTCAGGAGGCAGAGGCAGGCAGATCTCTGAGTTGGAGGCCAACCTGGTCTAGAGTAAATTCCAGAGCAGCCTGGAACTAGATAGAGAAATCCTGTCTTGAAAACCCAAAAGGTGGAGGAGGAGAAGTTCTCTAATAAAGGTTGAATGTGGCTCAGTGATAGAATCAGCGTACCTGGACTTGCTGAGCACCTGGTTTCCATCCCTAGCAGCACACATGCATCCTGCACTTACTTCCATAGGATACAGTGGCTCTAATCTGTAATCCAGCCCTTGGGAGGATGAAGCAGGAATATTACCTTAAGTTCAAGGCCTGTGTTGAGAGCCTGTCTAAAAACAAAAAGCTGGGTGTCATGGCACACTCCTTCAAATCCAACATTTGGAGGCAGAGCAGGTGATTCTCTGAGTTTAAGGTCAGCCTTGATATTCAATACCAGGCCACTCAAAATTCCTTAATGAGACTCTGTATAGGTAAAAATAATAAGATAAAATCTCTAGTGGCTTGATGTCTGAAGACACAGAAACCCAATGAGACAGGTGAGGAGTTTGGGTAGGGAGAGAAGTAGAGACTATTGATCCATGCACGGACCTCTTCAAGGAAGTTTGCTATGGAATGTGGTTCAGTGGTAGTGCACTCGTCTTGTGTGTGCTAAGCCCTAGGTCCACAGCTCTGCAACAAAGGAAAAGAGGGAAGAATGCTATGGAATAATCCTTCTGTACACTGTGTAAATTACGCGGTGATGGGTTTAATAAAGAAGCTGACTGGCCAATAGCTGAACAGGATAAGGTTAAGTGGGAAAACCAGACTAAGGACACTGCAGTGCCACTGAAGGAGCTGGAGGGGTCGGAAAGGAACAGAGACTGAAGCCCAGAAGTAGTAATAGACTATTAGAGACAGTTTAGATATAGAAACACTGAGATGGAACATCGCCATGAGATGTGGAAGTGGCAGGTGGTTTGGTCTGAGGCAGAGATAGGATAGTTAGGCTTGGGGTGCCTCTGATGAAAATAAGGATTTGAGCATACAATAAAATCACTCATAGAAAATAAATAGAAGTGTGTCATTTCAACAAACTCTTGACTGAGGGGCTGGAGAGATGGCTCAGTGGTTAAGAACATTGCCTGCTCTTCCAAAGGTCCTGAGTTCAATTCCCGGCAACCACATGGTGGCTCACAACCATCTGTAATGAGGTCTGGTGCCCTCTTCTGGCCTTCAGACATACAGACAGAATATTGTATACATAATAAGTAAATAAATACATTTTTTTAAAAAACTGTTGACTGAGAACATGCTAGACATCTGTAGATCCTAAGGAATAGGGAAAAACAAGACATTTCTTATATTTTTGGTTGTGAACCTAGCCTTTAATGGCTGAGCCAACTCTCCAGCCTGAAAAGCCAAATAAATAAATTAAAAAGACCTTTCTGCTAAGATCCTCACCACTTGATATAATAGACAGTGTTTAATTAAAAACACATGGTAAAATTTTTGCTTAGATCTCAACAGTTAAGTGTTACTTGGCCATTCAACTGAATACTTTGGAACTATAAAAAAGAACAAGAACAAAAGAACATGACTTTTTTTTTTTTTTTTTTTTTT